TGAATTGGGGAAAAATGTAATGTGGATGATTAAAATATAAATCAATTAGAGTAATCCAATCTGCTCAATAATCTGTACTTAAGAGCTAAACATCTTGAATTTAATAATGTACGTATTAAAGAGCCATTTAACTATGGAGTTGTAATTATGCCTTTATAATCCTCTGTCAGCTTCTTGCCACTCTAGGTTTTTCTAAGGCACTCCTACTTTCTTATAATTATTTTAATGTGGTAATTTTGGAATAATTTTTATTCATTTTTTTAAGATGTGATCATGAGACAGCTTTTGGGTCTTGGTGGTGCATTTTTCTTAAGACAGCTAGCGATACTGATTTTATACTTTTTTTTAACAGTTCATTTATTTATTTGACAGAGACAGCACAAGCAGCGGAAGCAGTAGGGAGAGGGGGAGGGAGAAGCCGACTCCCCACTGAGCAGGGAGCTTGAGATCCCAGGACCCCGGGATCATGACCTGAGCTGAAGGCAGATGTTCAACCACTGGGCCACCCAGGAGCCCCTGATCTTACACTTCTTAAGATGTGTTGTCTGTGAATGAACTTAATCAGGTGTCCTCCTCATTTATTCCCTTTTTTTTAATTTATTACCTTTTTAAATGAATTATCATTGGATGCCAACTGTGAGAGCAAACCCCAGCGCCAATTCTAAAAAACCCGTATCTTGAATTTTTTTTTTGAGGGATTCGGCATATAATCTCTTTATCAAACCTTTAACAGAAATGTTTCACCTTGGCTAAACCTAGGTCTCAAACTTTAAAAGTTATATCTTTTGTGTCTTAGGCTAGAGAATCAAAAGAAAGATGGAAACTCTTCCAACCAAATGCAGATACCCAGATACACATGAACTTGTGCACGTATTTTCAGGGGTATGTTGCCTCCTGAAGCCTGTTGGGATCCGTGGATCCCAGGATGGGCGCTTTGCTGAGCGAGGTTTCCAGTTTGGCATCAGTGTGTGTTTAGAGAGGTACTGGCAGGTAATTCTGGGCCGGCCACTCGGAGGTTCCTTAGGCCAAGGCAGGAAACCAGAACTTTCTGCTGTAAGTTGTAGGAAGCCACTGAAAGCTTCTGGAAAAAAAGCAGGCTTCTGGAAAGAGTAATCTTGCAATAATATAAAATACAGGTTTAAGCAGACTGGGATTGGGAAAGTAGGTTTGGAGACTTGTAAAAGCTGGTTAAAGAACACTCAGATTATAAATGAAGGTAAGAAACAGGAACACAGTGATGGATGTGAAAGAGAAAGTGATTTCGTGCAAATCAGATCACTAGACTTTCCTGGACTCAGAACTCCCTTGGTACAATGCCCACATCTGCCCCTCCCTACTTGGCGACCCAGCTACTGAGCATCACTGAAGCAGCACCCACTCAAAGCAATGGATACCATTTAAAGAGAATAATTTCCAGATTCAGAGGTTCCAGAGCCTGTTCACTTTTTCTGTTTGGATTCTCCTTCCTCACTGTAGATGGTTTTGTTCCCTTCTCTCCTTAGCCTCCCCCACCCCACCCCTGCAGCCCAAACTTCCTCAAAGTCTCCCCAATATGTCTCTTCCTCCCCTCCGCCCCCAGTCCCCCAGGGCTGCTGGATTCATCTCCCCGAGGCCCACATCTGATGTGTGACACTTGTGATCAGAGACCTCCGTTCCGACTTTTGGAAAGAAGTCTCCTGGTGACTAACCATAGTTCAGAATAGAGTCTTCCGGTGACTAACATTCCCATATGTACTTCTGATCCCTCCCCCTTCTCTCCTCCCGGAAAACTCTACTTTGTAAATCCCTCAGCCTCGCTGCTACACCTGCAGCCCCTTCCCCTCCCCGGGAGCACGGCCCACTGTCCCCATCCAGTCTCTCCACTTGCATCCAAGGCAGATTTCCCTCAGTTGCTCTCTCTTACCCTAAGATGTGAAATCCAAGCTTCCAAAGATACTTTGCAGGAAGCTGCATTATCTGGCTCCAAAGGCCTTGTCATGGAGCCTGCCTACCGTCCTTTTCTTCAGCTTCCTTCTCTAATCAAAGTCTTAAAAAAAAAAAAAGCAAAGTCTTGGGCACCTGGGTGACTCAGCAGTTGAGTGTCTGCCTTCGGCTCAGGGCATGATCTTGGGGTCCTGGGATCCTCCCCGCAGGGAGCCCACTTCCTCTGCTTATGTCTCTGCTTCTGCCTCTGTGTCTCTTATGGATAAATAAATAAAATCTTTTTTAAAAATGCAAAGTCGTGGGACCTCTGGGTGGCTCAGTGGGTTAGGCATCTGACTCTTGATCTCAGCTCAGGTCTTGATCTCAGGGTCATAAGTTCAAGCCCCACATTCGGCTCCACACTGGGCGCAGAGCCTACTTAAAAAAAAAAAAGAAAGAAAGAAATGTGTTCGAGTGATCGCTGTCTACCCAGTCATGAAACACAAAAGCTTCAGCCATCCCTGCTTCCTTGTCCTCCCTCATGCTGGTCTGGGAAGCTGCCAGGAGCCTGTGATTTTGCCATTTGGTTGGGTCTCATCCTTTCTCAGGTCCCTTCTATCACACCCTACCTGCGTTCCAGTCACGTCTCCCCAGGAAGACCGCAGTGGCCTCCTCATTACTCTCTGCCAGTCTTCCAGTTCGGGTTCCCATTGTCTGTGCAGTGAGAGTCCTAGAAATAAATCTAATTGTGCCTTCTCCAGCACACTGATTAACCCAAAGCCCATCCCCCGCCTAGACCCTCTTGATCCCCTTCTCTCTGTTCTACTTTTCCTTTAATTTTCCCCCCAAACACAGATCTTCCAATATAGTGTACAGTTGACTTAGTTGTAACATGTATTTTCCGCTCCCCTCCCCCTGCCCTGCCAGCGGAGGCTCCGAGAGTTGGTGCTCTTATCTGTTTTGTTTGCTGACGTAATTTAAGCAGCTGGTACATAGTGAGCACTCAGTACATATTTGTTGAATGTCATAATGTCAATTCCTTATTTTTACATCCTCATCCTTTCCCCTCTGCTTATAGAATAAAACCTAAACACCTACTAGGAACTTTCAGAAGGTTGCGTGTTCTGGTTCCACACTCCTCCAGCCCCTGTCTCTCACCACCGGGTGTCCATCATGAGATGGACATTAAGGGATAATCAAGATTTGATGGGTTTCTGGACATGCCATGTTCTTTCAGCCTTCTCTGTTCCTGTCTGGTCTATTCTCCTCCCAGAGATCTACTTCTCTACCTTTCCCCATGTGGGGGGAAACAGTTCCTCCTTTTTCAAAATCCAGCCAAAAATTCCATCCCCTGTGGGTCTCCTCCTACACCCTGAAGGAGAATTAGTTTCTCTCTCTCTCCTGTTTGCTTCCTTTAATTTCTGTGTGATTGCTCCTGGTGTGCAGTTTTACACATGGACCTCTGTGTCTCCTCCCCTAGACTCTGTGCTCCGTCATGTCCATTTTTTTCTGTGTGTCTGCGCCCAAAATGATCACAGGGTCCATTACAGTATTATTATGTTGTCACTTAATGCAGTGATTGAAGAGAGGAGCTGCCATATGTTGAACCACGTAGTCAAAGGTTTGAGGGCCGTCACCACACCACATGCCCAAATTATTGCTGTCCTCACCCCCAAACCTGTACCTGCCCTGTGTCCCCTGTTTCTGTGAGTGAAAGGGTGTCAGTCCCCTGACATGAATCTGGGCATCGGGAATGACCTACCTCCTTTTCCTCAGATCACCCAACTAGGTCCTGTTGACTCTGCTCCCAGACATCTCCCAAATCCATCTTCCCCTCTGTCTTGCTCTCAGGAGCCTTTGCCTACCTGTCATCTCTGTCACCAAGCACACTGCCTGGCACATCGTGGAGGTGTCATATATATTTCTTGAATGAGTGAGTCTCTGAGTTAGAACCATTTCAGGTAGCAACAGGCACAGATTACCGGGCTATGAGTTCGAGCTTCTGAGCTTCTATGTTGTTGCAAAAGTCTGGGTGATTTTTCTGAAGGTGGGGTTGGAGGCCCAACAGAGTGGTTTTGGATCAGCCCCATGGCTCTAGATGTTATCTGACTTTCTAGACCAGTGAAGCTCTCTCAGCCTCCTGAGTTTGCCAAGGGGGTCACGTTTTCTGATCGCTTCTGTCTTAAAAATTCAAATCCCGGCATATTTCCCTCACTGGGATATGTAAATTCTCATGTAAGTTTGGAAAAGGGTTTGTTTTTTAACAAGTGATGAAAGAGATCAGGGCAATTGTGACCCCCTAAAGAAGGGTCCACTAGGAATAATGAGTTGGAGGGTCTTCGTATCCTCACACATGAAGTTACGGGATTAGTCTCGATGTTCCCTCAAGTCACTTTCGCTCCCAATTTCTATGAATATTATTATTATTATCATCATTATTAAAGCAAAATACCAGGAACAACAGCAACAACAACAAAACCTAGAGGAACCGAGGCGGTTGTAAAGTCTAATGAAGGGTGAGTGATTCTAAAATCAGTCTAAGCTGGAGACATCACTCAACAGATTCCAGTGCTGCTTTGGGTCTGGGCAAAGCAGGAAGGAGAGTCGTGGGCGGTAGAGGCGTTGGCATTGGAACAGACAGTTGATAAATGTTTTCAGCCTCCTCTTTTCTCGGCAGACGGTGCTATAGTGATTGCATCTGCCAAGTCTTAATCTGAGATATTGCTGGACCACTAGTTACACAGACTGTGTCACTTGACTCCTCTGATGCCCTCTTCCTGCCTCGTTGGGGAATCTCGATGTGTCAAGAGGGTTCTGTTCCTCCTCCACCCCATTGTCCTCCTTTATCAGGTCTAGGTCGAGGTTGGGTACATTTGGGGTGCTCCAGATGCCTAGGGTTTGGCTGACTGTCTCCAGCCTTTAGAACAGGGTGGTATGACTTCCATTCCAAAAGGCAAAAAAAGAGAAACGGAACTTCAGTCATGTGGTTTCTGTTATCTGTAACCATGGAAAACGTTGGCCATCTGTGAGGATCCCATTTTAACACTTTCTCTCTCTCTCTCTCTTTCTCTTTCCATCTCTTTCTCGGGGAAAACTAGCTGAGGAAGTGGAGAGGCTGGCGGCCATGCGTTCTGACTCCCTCGTTCCAGGTACCCACACCCCACCCATCCGCAGGAGAAGTAAGTTTGCCAACCTGGGAAGGATTTTCAAGCCTTGGAAGTGGAGAAAGAAGAAAAGCGAGAAGTTCAAACACACATCCGCAGGTAAGATGGTTGTTTCCTTCTCTTTGGGAGTTTGTTGACTTCAACTCTGTATGTTAATTAGCAGAATTTAATTATTGTGGACCATCTGAGCCAAAGGGAAGAAAAATCAAGCCTTAGAATTGCTCTTGTGTTGAATAATTCTTTGGTGCAGTTGAAAAATGGCTTTCAGATCTTGTGTGTTTTCTCGTGTGTTAGGTTTTTTGTTATGTTTTGATCTGCCACTTGTGTCTAATCTATAAATATCTGAGCTTAGAATTCCACCTTTTCTGTAATTGAATGCTTTTATTCCACCACTGACAATCCATTTCTTATTGTTCAGCCTCATTTGGACTGCTTTGGCAGAAAGCAACCCGTAGCAGAAAATAAGTTATTTGTGGTCTTTGGCAGATGAGAATAGGTTATTCCATGGAGGAAAAATCTTGAATGAATGATTGTTGGACACGAAAGGAAAATGCAGGAGAATGAAAACAAAGCATCATGTAATGGCAGGGACAATTCTACAGTTGATGACTTAGTGGGCAGAAGGGGAATTGGAGGGAAGTCAGTATTAGCTGAGGGGTAAAGAGCACACTCTGGAGTCAGACTGCATGGGTTCAAGCCCCAGTTCTGATATTCGGCAGTTCTTTGACCTTGCTCAGTTTATTTAACTCTGTATCTCAGTTTTCCCACCTGTAAAATAGAGCTAAGAACAATATTTTACCTGACTTAAAATTGTGAGTTTATGTGACATGCTATGTGGATCTATTTTAAATGAGTAGGAGTGTGCGGAGGGAAGGGTATAAGGAAAGAGGCCTGATTTCACCCTGTTGGCTTTGAGATAAGGTGATGGAATAGCTATGCAGATATTTTTTATTTGTTTTGTTCTGATTTTGCTTACTGAATGCCCAAGTCCTTTCAAGTCTACGCTCCAGGGCTTTAATCTCCTCCTCCCTCTTCATCCTCAAAACCTCAGCCTGCCCTTCTCCTCCTGAGAATCATCACCTCTTCTGTGTCTTGGTCCTCTCCCCACTTTCCCCTTGGTCCTTCCCCCCACCTTGCAAACTAACTGTGAAGTGGGAGATGGGGCTGCTTGTTGTACCTGAACATAAACCCGCAGATCTGGGAATTTTCATGCTAATTGCTTTGGGGGAACGAAAGAAAATAGCAAACATAGGAAAGTTGCAGATAGTCTTAGAAATCCATAAGATAGAAATCTTAAACGGTTCTCATGGACCTCTCCAGCTTGTGTTTTCTGACCTTTCCTTCAATGGAAGCCCCAATGCCCTGTTGCTGTCATCTGTTAATTCTTGAGATTGGAACGAACATCCAAATTACAGTAATCTCAAACCTGTCAGCCCTGGGACTGAGTCCCTTCACTGGACTACATTCTGCACCCTCCTGGTCATTGGACAGGTGTAATAAAACCTGTAGGCCGTTCATGTATTTCTAAACACTGCTGAGAGATTGACGTGCAAGCAAAACCTAAATGGATGACTCCTTTTTATCCCCCCACCCCAGGGGAAAACTAGACCATGACCTCTTAGGGAGTGTTCTGTGAACTCTGGAAAAAATAAAGTTTTGGGGCTCCTGGATGGCTCAGTCATTTCAGTCTTGGTTTTGGTTCAGGTCATGATCTCAGAGTCATGAGATCAAGTGGGGGGGGTGGGGGGGGTCTGCGCTCAGCAGGGGGTCTACGCTCAGCAAGGAGTCTGCTACAGATTCCCTCTGCCCCTTCTCTCATGGTCTCTGTCTCTGTCTCTCTGTCTCTCTCCTTCTCTCTCATAAATAAATAGTTTTTTAAAAAAAATAAAATTTCCAGGGATCCCTGGGTGGCGCAGCGGTTTGGCGCCTGCCTTTGGCCCAGGGCGCGATCCTGGAGACCCGGGATCGAATCCCACGTCGGGCTCCCGGTGCATGGAGCCTGCTTCTCCCTCTGCCTGTGTCTCTGCCTCTCTCTCTCTCTCTCTCTGTGACTATCATAAAAAATAAAAATTTCCATAAGATCCCTTACCAGGGTCTTCCTGACTTTGTGGTAGAAAATGGCTTACAATCACACAAACACACATTGAACCAATATCCATTCATCAGCACGAACCCCTGAATGATGGTGTCCCAGATGCCTTTCCTACCAGCAAATCAGGAGCTTTGTTTTGTCCATCTGATGAGACCTTTAGGTAAAGCTCGGATGCTCCTGGCATGCAAAGATCTAGTGTGCTGACTTCAGGATGTTGGGAAACTGGTCCTTTGACAGATGCAAATACAAGAACTTCAAATTACTTGTGGATCATTCAAAGTTTGAATATTATTTGCATTTAAAACTCTTTGGGGAGAAAAAAATTTGAAACACGTGACTGGCAAAGTTGCGGTTTGAATCATTCTTATCATTAACTATTCTTAGCAAGTTCTTGTGATTGTGATTTCTCTGGCCAAACTGATGAATTTGGCAGTTGAATGTGATATTTGGATGTAAGCTTTTTTTTTTTTTTTTTAAAGAGACATTGACCTCCTGAAGTAGAAAAGGTAGAGGATATACTATAGAATATATCCAAATAGGTGGCGGGATACCTGAATTAAGTGAAGCTATTCTAGTTTTTAAAAAAGTCAGTGGTTTGCGCTGTCATTTCCTTTGTACTTAACTGGATTCAGAAATATTATTCCTTATTTTTGGAGAGACTTGTAGTACCAGTTCTTAGCCCACAGGAGAAAAAACTGGACAACATAAGGATGTTTAACATGATAAATTGTATATATATTCAAGTAATACTTTGAAGTGCAAACTTTCCTATGCATTGGTAAGAGCTAAGTACATTTACAAGAGGATTGATTGATTATGGGATTGTTAATGGTTGGCCAGTGTTAGCTGATATGTATATATTTGTCTTGTACGTGTGTATATGTAATGTCCTCCCTTTCGTGTGTAAAATAAGGTCCACAGTTTTGATACAAAGATCAAGTTCATAAATTCATTTATATTATGCATTTGTATTTAAAACTGTACTTTTTTTTAAAAACACATGAAAGAACATGAACACAATGCACACTTGGCCTGTTTGGTACTTCCACAGTGAGTTGCCACTTTTTAAGTTGCCACTTAAAATTTGCCATAATTAGCTATGCTATGGTTTTCCTATAGCTCAAGTTATGGGATAGGTGTATCTGTGTCTACCACATCTTCAAAGATAAGCCCAGAAACATTACTTTCTAAGTTGTATAACAATAAGAAAACTGCATTGGAAAGTTAGGATCTCACTGTTTCCCTCAATTTTGGCATCAACAATTGTATGAACTTTTCAAAGGCCTCTGTGTCTTGTGCTGCTTGTACATCCATCCTATGCTAGGCTGAAGGCCAGGGTCCTGACAAAGCCTTCAGCATTAAGATCCTGAGACTGAACTCCAGATGGTGGTGGAAACACTGGAGGACGAAGCAGCCCTGCATCATAACAGTAAGGAAACAACCGTAATGGTTGGAAGGCAAAATAATGGGTCCTCTGGGAGGTGATCCTTACGTGCTTTGCAGCCTGTGCTCAGAGGCCATGCCCACGGCCTGCAACACAGCCTGACACACCCAACCTCCTGTGTGGAGTCAGCAGTGTATGTCCACAACACACACCCCCAGAGCTACTCTGGGAACAAAGACAAATGATAACATCCCCTCCAAAGTAGAACAAGCAGAGCCTCCCCAAAATAGTCAATTGCAACCATCTTATCCAAATTCCTTGAAAATGAGGACTGTATTTATAGAAAAATAGAACTGGCAGGAATAAACCATGAAGATGCCACTGAGTTATGCTTTTATTTCCTCTTGACAGAAAATCATAAGCTGTAGGGGGTTGGCCCTGGAAATCTGCAATGTGCCAGAAGTCCCTTTGTGCTTCTAAGCTTTTCCGCATACCTAGGGCCTTGAGCAACACGATATTTTTAAAAATTAAAAAATGTTACTGAATGCCTACCCATGCTGAAACTGTACCCGCTCTGGAGATAGATAACTGTGAGCAAAAGCAGACCTTGTCGGTGACCTTGTGGCATGCACAGTGTAGTGGGAGAGGCAGGCAATCGAAACACATGGATACAGGTGGGATCACGATTATGATAGGGCAGTGAAGGGAAAGTACTGGGGAAAGTGAGGGGGACACTTGATGCCATCTGAGGGACCAGAGAAACTGTCTTGAGGAAGAGAAGTTTGAACTGAGACCTTGGGGAAGTAGTAAGAATTTAGAAAACAAGAACTCCAGGCAGCAAAACAGCCTGTGCAAAGGCCCTGTAGTAGAAGAAACAGGAATGAACAGGCTGGGAAAACAATGGCTAGAGAGTGGAGAGCTAGGAGTACGCTGTCAGTCGAGGCTGGCGGGGTCACCAAGGACTGGACCCTCTCTAGGCCTTCATCCTGCACAGCAGATTAGACAAGAGTATGTGTGGCTCCAGGAAAACCAATTTGGCCATGTACAGATTATGGTAACTTGGACTCATATTTGCTAGTAGAAATGAGTGGGTTTGGGAGATGTTATGAGGAATAAGTTACAGGACCAAATGACAAGTTGGATTTAGGAGGGAGAGAGAGAAGGGTCATGTTTGACACTGTAGTGTTGTTTTAGGGCATATGGTTATAGGGTTTCCTGAGATGAGTACTTTGGAAGAGTGGCAGATTTGGAGGAGTGGGGGGAGGGAACGGGGGATAGAGGAGCTATGATCTCCATTTTAGGTGTGAATTGGAGTTGATTTTGTGATATCCAAAGTTGGGAGTTGAATATATGGAATGCAAAGAAGTGGTCTGGACTGGGTGCATAAATCTTGGGTCTTCGCATATCCGCATTAGAGTGATGACCGTGTCGAAGATGGGCTGGGAATACGTATAGAGTGGAAAGAATGGAAAGAAAAGAGGATCCAAGTCTGTCTTAGAGGCAAAGACTATCATCACTAGTGACTAGATAGAGGAGGATGAACTTGTAAAGGAGATTGAGAGGCAATGACTTTCTTTGACCGACTTATTTCATTTAGTGTTATATGCTCTAGCTCCGTCCGTG